AGGTCGTGGTACTGGCCGGATCACCTGTCCTTGTGCATTCAGACCCACTGTCGGATTTGCTCTGGGCACTGGTGTCACCACGTAGGCAGCCTCGACATGCTTTTTAACCAACAACTCGTGGGCGTTGTTGTGGTGAGTTCGAGGTCAGGAACCGGGCGCTGCGGTGAAGTGTAGCCAGTGGTGTAGTCTAGAGTACCATGGACACTGACATTAGGCCATCATCATCATTACCATGGGCCAGACCACAGGTCGAGCAGATGGCGGGCGTTGGTGCATCGATGTTGACGGTGTTGATGTCGAGGGCCTCGTCGCACAGAGCAGGGGAGGTAAGCTCGGGAAATATGTTGACGGTGGCGTCAGAACTCGAGCACTTTGTCGAGCGCATGGTCGTTGTTGGAGCAGCAAGCCTGTTGCCGCCGACGCCATGGTCTTGCACTTCATGGTCGTGGCCATCACCATGCTTCTCGGAGCCCATCGCTTCATCCTTCATGCTCTCTTCCTCCCTTATCCGAGCAAGGCACGACGCTATGGTGATGCTAGACGGCGTTTGCGACTGCATGACTGCTTGAATATCTGTGTGCAAGCCCTGGACGTACTGATGTACGAAGCACTTGATGCTTATGGTGGACGTTCCCAGAATGCTGTCGTGTACTCGGCCATGGTTGTGGTCTGCTTGAGCTCAAGCAGCGAGCACACAAGCAGGTTATACTCCGGCGACACGTCCTGGATGTCAAGGAGGCAGACATGCTCGTAGACACACCGACCATGCAAGGCGAGAGCCCGCGTCGCCCCGACTTTTGATTGAAGCTAAACCACTACCTCCACATGGTGGATTCTGTGGAACACGACGACCTTCAACACACCATACACGACAAACACCTACTGCAGTGTCTCCTCGGTGATCGGGTAGTACACATGGTGCACGGTGACGCGGAGAACGCCGCCAATGAACACCTCTGTTTGGCTGGACATTTCATCGAACATATGGTAGGCAGGAAGTGGGTGGTGATTTTTTGTTGGCTCTGAATACCAAATTGTCACAACCCAAGCACAAGATGGGACGAACAGACTAATCAACACCAATATTCAGATCTAGATCGGGGGATACAGCGAGAATATGGGGTGAGAAATCAGTAAGGAAAGGGGGGGTACAAAGAGCAGGAGATGATGACGAGAGCAAGGGGTGAGAAGCTTCAGACGTTTCACAAATCAATCGCTCCTCCCTTCTGTCTAGCTTCTCCTTCTTTATAATCCCTTTGCCTAATCACATAACTGGGCCAAGTCCAAGTCTTACAACCCATTCCATCAAGAAGGCCCTGGATAAGAAGAGGGTCATGACATAGGGTACCCGATGTCTACTACACAACCTTCTTCTTGTAGACATTGTTGGTCCTTCGAGTGCAGAGGTTTGTAGGACAGTAGCAAATTTCCCTCAAGTGGATGACCTAAGGTTTATCAATCCGTAGGAGGCGTAGGATGAAGATGGTCTCTCTCAAGCAACCCTGCAACCAAATAACAAAGAGTCTCTTGTGTCCCCAACACACCCAATACAATGGTAAATTGTATAGGTGCACTAGTTCGGCGAAGAGATGGTGATACAAGTGCAATATGGATAGTAGATAATAGTATTTGTAATCTGAAATTATAAAAACAGCAAGGTAACAAGTGATAAAAGTGAGCGTAAACGGTATTGCAATGTGTTGAAACAAGGCCTAGGGTTCATACTTTCGCTAGTGTAAGTTCCCTCAACAATACTAACATAATTGGATCACATAACTATCCCTCAACATGCAACAAAGAGTCACTCCAAAGTCACTAATAGCGGAGAACGAACGAAGAGATTATGGTAGGGTACGAAACCACCTCAAAGTTATTCTTTCCAATCAATCCGGTGGGCTATTCCTATAATTGTCACAAACAGCCCTAGAGTTCGTACTAGAATAACACCTTAAGACACAAATCAACCAAAACCCTAATGTCACCTAGATACTCCATTGTCACCTCAAGTATCCGTGGGCATGATTATACGATATGCGTCACACAATCTCAATTCATCTACTCAACCAACACATAGAACCTCAAAGAGTGCCCCAAAGTTTCTACCGGAGAATCACGACGAAAACGTGTGCCAACCCCTATGCATAGGTTCATGAACCCGCAAGTTGGTCACCAAAACATACATCAAGTGGCACGTGGTATCCCATTGTCACCACAGATATCCACAGCAAGACATACATCAAGTGTTTTCAAATCTTTAAAGACTCAATCCGATAAGATAACTTCAAAGGGGAAACTCAATTCATTACAAGAGAGTAGAGGGGGGAAGAAACATCATAGGATCCAAATATAATAGCAAAGCTTGCGATACATCAAGATCATATCACCTCAAGAACACGAGAGAGAGAGAGAGAGAGATCAAACACATAGCTACTGGTACATACCCTCAGCCCCGAGGGAGAACTACTCCCTCCTCGTCAGGGAGAGCGCCGGGATGATGAAGATGGCCACCGAAGAAGGATTGCCCCCTCCGGCAGGGTGCCGGAACGGGTCTAGATTGGTTTTCGGTGGCTACGGAGGCTTCTGGCGGCGGAACTCCCGATCTATTGTGTGTTCTGGAAGTTTTAGGTTACGTAGGTATATATGGGTGCAGGAAGTACGTCGGAGGAGCCACGGAGGCCCCACGAGGCAGGGGGCGCGCCCTAGGGGGGTGGGTGCGCCCCCCACCCTCGTGGGCAGTCCGTGTCTCCCCTGACGTGCACTCCAAGTTCCCTGGGTTGCTTTTCTTCAAAAAATAACTTCTCCAGTTGATTTCGTTCCGTTTCGACTTCGTTTGATATTCCTTTTCTTCGAAACACTGAAATAGGCAAAAAACAGCAAATCTGGGCTGGGCCTTCGGTTAATAGGTTAGACCCAAAAGTAATATAAAAGTGGAAAATAAAGCCCAATATTGCCCAAAACAGTAGATAATATAGCATGGAGCAATAAAAAATTATAGATATGTTGAAGACGTATCAGTACTGTTTTTAGACGATAATGGCTCCCTAAAGATGGAAGAAGGTTCTTCCCGCCTCGGTGGTGCCCGTCGAAGGGCGTGCAGATGTGTGTCTCGAGCGAATCTCGCAGGATTCGGCCGGTGGTTGATTTTGGTGGATCTGTTCGGATCCGGTCTTTGTTCATCTACACTCGTGTCTTCAGGTTGGATCCGTCCAATGTGCGTGCCTGTTCATCATCTGCTATTAGTGTTCTGATGCGCTGATCCTAGGAGGCTTTAACTCGGTAATTGATTATAGGCGCATCAAGCTAACCCGGTCAGCATTTCCCCAAGTCCAGATCTACTGCCATCTAGAGTAAAAACCACCCTTTCGCAATCGCCATGTGCGAGGCATGCAACTCTATCTAACAATTCCTTAATGAATGGTGATGCGGATCGTTCCAGCCCATTTTGGTTTAGTTTTTTTTATCAAACAAGCATAAACTAAAGTGGGGGAGAAAAGCCCGGATCCAACGCAACGATCTCCCTCCCTCCCTCCCGTTTCCACGCTGGTGGGACTGGCGGTGGCGCACTCCTCTCTCTCCCTGGCCGCTTCTCCCCCACCGCGAGCGACCGCGAGCTCCCACCAACCGCCCCACCCGCCGGCCTCCTCACTGCTCGGTAAGGAGTAAGCCACACTCCACTCCCCGTCCCCGACCGACACCCAGCGCCGGCGCCTCCTCCATTCCCCGCGCGC